GTGAGACTGTCTCCAAAAAAAAAAAAAAAAAGAAAAAGAAAAAGAAAAAGAAACCAAAAAAAACAAAAGAAGTTTGTAGATACAGACTCATACATTAATGAACCCTTGATTTATGACAAAATACAAAACAAATTGCAAGTTCTCAATAAATTGGCAACTGGGAAATCCATGAGAAAGGAAAAATCCTTACCCTCACACCATACACAATCAATTATACATGTATTAAAGACCTAAATATGAAAGGTAAAACTAAAATTTAGAGAAAAAAAAATGGAATACCTTCATCATCATGTGATAATGCCAAGATTTCTTTTTCTCCTGTTGGTTACCGTGATCTTGGAGAAGGTTTTTTTTTTTTTTTTTTTAGGAGATGGAGTCCTCACAGTTCTGGCAGCCGCAGGCTGGAGTGAGCAGTGGCATGATCTTGGCTCACTGCCAACCTTACCAGCCACTCCAGGCCCACTGGGATCTGAAGAACTTTGCAGGCACAGGCCCCCTATAAATCCAGTAATGACCTGGGGCCTGAGTCATTTTCATTCACAGAGCCACCTTCCTCTTGGTACAGAGACCCTGAGTCTTTTTGGCCCATAGAGTCATCCCCTTCTTGGTACTGAGAGGTCATGGTGGAGACTGAGGATCCCTCCAAGGGGTCTAGGGGTGGGAGCAGCTCTGTGAATTGAGGGAATAACTGGGTGTCTGGCAAGAAGTCGGAGGCATCGGGGCTCTCAGGCCATAAGGGGACTGGGGCTGGGGCTAGGAATGATCCTGGACCTGGGATTGGGGCTGGGACTGAGCCTGGGCCTGAGCCTAAAATCGGGGCTGGGCCTGGAAGTGAGCCTGAGCTTGGCATCCGGCCAGGACTTAAGGTGGGACCTGGGCCTCCGAGTCTGCCTGGGCCTGGGATCTGGGCTAGGCCAGGAATCTCGCCTGTGATCGGGCCTGGGCCTGAGATTGGGCCTGGGATCTGGGCTTGGTCTGGGACCTGAGCTGGGCCTGAAATTGGGCCTGGGATCTGGGCTGGGCCTGAAATTGGGCCTGGGAGTGGACCAGGCAGTGGGCCTGGAATCTGGGCTGGGCCTGAAATTGGGCCTGGGAGTGGACCAGCGAGTGGGCCTGGGATCTGGGCTGGGCCTGGGATTGGGCCAAGGAGTGGGCCTGGGATCTGGACCCGGCCTGAAATTGGGCCTGAAATTGGGCCTGAAATTGGGCCTGGGACCTGAGCTGGGCCTCGGATTGGGGCTGGGATTGGGCCAGGGCCTGGACCCAGGACATCTGGGATGCCCTTTTGGGCTCTGCACTCAGGGCCACCCCAGGCCTGGTCGAGGCTGCAGATCGTGGGTTCCGCCGCTGGAAGGATTCCCGAGAGGCCCGGCTGAGGGGCGGAGGCAGCGGCTGCAGGGACTAGGGGTGCAGCGCGGGCTCCTCGGCCTCTCCGCCCAGGGACGCGCTGGGGCTGCTGCTGGAGCCGTCGCTCCCGAGCTAGTTTGGCGCGGCGATTCTTGAACCACACCTGGGGGCAGTGGGGACAGGGAGGAGGTGTGAAGGAGGGCCTCGCGCGGTCGGGTGAGCCGCTTGGGGGCGGGGCCGGCCTCAAGCCTCTCCCTGTGTTCACCCCCACCCCGCGCCCACCATAAGAGGGACCCCCCCACCCCGGCTCCCAGGCCTGGAGAAGGGAGGGGAGGAGGGTGGGGTGGGAGGGGTGAAGGGTGAGGTGGGAGGGGAGGAGCGGGTCCTGCTGCCCGGGAGCCCGGGGGGCCAGGGAGGGTGCGAGGGGAGGGACCGCGGGTTCTCAGGGGGGCCTGAGGTCTGGGCACCGGGAGACCTCGTGGGGCACAGCTTGGGCCGATCCTGTGGGCGGGTTTGGGTTGGCAGAGAGTTGGAACAGGACTCGATGCAGCCCGGGTCTACACTGGCGGGACCCCTTGCGTGGCAGGGCAGGAGGTGGTCGGGCGGGCCAGGCCCCGGTGAGTGACAGAGGTGGAGAGACTCCTTGGGGTGACTGGGGCGGGCGGGGTGCGGCTGGGAGTCAGACCTGCAGTTGGTGCTCCTTGAGGCCGAGTTCCTCCGCCAGTTTCTGTCGCTTGTGGTAGTTCGGGTACTGGTCGTTCTGAAAGTAACTTTCTAGCACTTCCTGCTGGCTTTGAGTGTAGACCGTGCGCTCCTGCCGCTGTCTCCTTGGAGGGTCCGGGGCCACGGGAGGGCCTGGGGGCGGGAGGGAAACAGGTCAGAGAAGGCCCCAGGGAGCCCCCGGCCCCCTTAGGTACCCCGTCCCTGCCCGAGGCCAGGAGCCCGGGCAGTGTGGGCTGGGGCGGCACCGCGGATGGCAGCCTGGTATCCGGACCAGACCTTGCACCTCTCTGGGCCTCAGGGTCCACATCTAGGAAAATGGGCATGATAACAGCTCCTGTATTATTAGGGACCCCACAGAAGGGAAGGCAGGCAGCATAGGTGCTGGTTTAATTTCTTTCCTTCTTTTTTTTTCTTGGAGAGGGGATCTCACTCTGTCACCCAGGCTGCAGTGCAGTGATGTGAACACGGCTCAAGGCAGCCTCCACCTCCGGGGCTCAAGCAATCCCCTCGCCTCAGTCTCCCGAGTAGCTGGGACACAGGTGTGCACCACCACCCCGGGGTAACTTTTGTATTTTTGGTAAAGACGGGTCTCACTGTGTTGGCCCAGCTGGTTTCAGAGTCCTGGGCTCAAGTGATCCTCCCACCGTGGCCTCCCAAAGAGCTGGGATCACAGGCGTGAGACGCTCCGCGCGGCTGCATGGGTTTTCATTTCCCAAACGCCGCTAAGTTCTCCCCTCTCTGCAGGACGGGAAGCCTCCCGCACAGGCCCAGCCCTGCTCTGGCTGCCCAGATCTGCACTCTGCAGCCTCGGCCACAGGATCAGCTCAGACCCCTCACACCCCTGCCCCCGCTCACCTTGGCGATGACCAGGGTCTTGCATCCTGCGTCCTGCTCTGTTCCCAAACACAAGTGTGTACTGACAAGTGCTTGGCTCTTAAATCACTTCTGTGCTGTGCCCACCCTGGCCCACCCTGCCGGGACCCTCCCTTTCCCACCCTGCCCTGCAGTCCCACCCCCTGGAGGAGCTGAATGATGGATGAATCCTTCATCACTGATCAGGTACTGCCTGCCAAGCTGTGCTAGGAGCTGGGGAACCTCAGTGGGCAACACAGCCTTGGTTTCACCCTCGTGGGCCCAGGCGAGGTGGCATTCCATGCGGGGTTGGGGAGTCAGCATTGTGACCTATGGTTGGGGTCCCCATCTCAGGAGAGGCACCGCCAGTCAGCCCCCAGGAGTCATCCTTGTTCCTTCCCAGGGCTGGGGCCCCGCATGACCAATGTCAGCGAGTCTACCCACTCCTCCCGGCTCCGGGGCTGCCCGCCTTGTCCAGCCACCATCCCTCCCTCCTGGATGACCCCACAGCCTCCTCTTTGATCCCTTGAGGCCACTCTGGCCCCTACTATCCATTCCAAAAATTGCCCCCCATGTGCCTATAGGTGTAAGCAGAGCTCAGTACACATTGGTCCTGCTGATAATGGTTTGGTTTCTGTAGTGAATTTGCCCGTGGGGCGAAGTTCTGATGGGCATTCACATAGACCTCTGCCGGTTTCTCCTGGTGAGTAAATGACCTCAGTGCTGGTTTATTCCAGTTTATATACGGGGCTCCCTGTATCAGGAAGGGGCACAGGTCTGATGGACGTGCCCATGGACTGCTGTTGGTCTGCCCTTGTGAGTGAATGAACCTGCTGCTGAAGATACAGGGGACCCATGACCTTGGTCTACAGAAATCAGATCCCTCAGAGATGCATCTTCTCTGTCAGACACCTGGCTGTCCCCATTTCCGCATGGCAGGACCCACATGGATTCGGGGGTTAGAGAGATTGACAAGAGAGAGATGGTGCAGGGAACTAGAAATAACTCATGCAATCAATTTCAAAATTCAATAAAACGTAGACATTGTTACCACAGGCCTGGCTTATTGTTTTCACCTGCTACTTAGAGTTCTGTTGTAGAAAGCAGCATCCCCAGCAATGATTCCTCATCGCACACGTCCGGCTTCATCTACAGGACATGCTGGGAACATAGTGGTGACCACGGAGATTTTGCATCGTGGCTATTTATTTGGTCAGTAAAGACTTAAACAGATGAACAAGCTCACTGGTACTATTTTGTGAAAACAGACATTTAAATATAAGCAAGTTCACGGCAGCATGATTCACAATCACCCAAGGGGAGAAAATGCTGAAACATGGATCCACTGATGGATAAACAAAATGCCGTGTGGCCGGGCGCGGTGGCTCATGCCTGTAATCCCAGCACTTTGGGAGGCTGAGGTGGGCGAATCGCTTGAGGTCAGGAGTTTGAGGCCAACTTGGTCAACAAGGTAAAAACGGGTCTCTGCTAAAAATACAAAAAATTAGCCAAGCGTGGTGGCAGGAGCCTGGAATCCCACCTATTTGTTAGGCTGAGGTAGGAGAATCACTTGAACCTGGGAGGCAGAGGTTGCAGGGAGCTGAGATCGTGCCACTGAACTCCAGCCTGGGTGACAGAGGGAGACTCCACCTCAAAAAACAAAACAAGCCAAAAACCCAACAAAAAATAGAAACCAAAACTGTCCTATAATTCACACAAGTGGGATAGTACCCTCAACCACGCAAAAGGAATAAATCTGATACATGCTACATCACGTGGCCATGAACCTTGCCAACATGAAGCCAAGTGAAAGAAAGCACGACCTCAAAAGCCACATATATGATTCTATTTAATACAAAAGTGTCCAAATAAGGCAAATCCATCAGGGACACGCGAAAAGCAGATTACAGTGGTTGCTATAGGGAGTTGGGGGAGAAGGGAAAATTGGGACCCAACTGGCAATAGCTATGGGGATAGCTCCTGGGCATGGTGAAAAAATGTTCTCTAAAAATTGACGGTAGTGATGTACCGGCACACTCTGCAAATCAGAACTAACAAAACCATTTAACTATCTTTTCTTTTTTTTTGAGTGGAAGTCTTGACTCTGTCACCCCGGCTGGAGTGGCAGTAGTGGCGTGATCTTGGCTCGCTGGAACCTCACCTCCGGGTTCACAAGTGGCCTTCCTCACCTCTGCCCCTCAAGCTTCCGGACGTAGCCTGGGATTAACAGGCGCACCATCACCACGCCAGTCATTTTACATCGTATTTTTAGTACACAGAACAACGGGTTTTACCATAGTTGGCCAGGCTGGTCTTGAAAATGCCTGACCTCACCGTGATCTGCCACACCTCGGCCTCCACCAACAGTGCCTGGGATTACAGTTGACTGACCACCGCCCTTCGGCGGCCATTTTCTTATTTTTATTTTATTTTTTATTGAGACCTGAGTCTCAATCTGGTCCACCATAGACCCTAAAAGTGCAGTGGCGTGATCTTGGCCTCACTCGGCAACTCCTGCCTCTTGATTCAAGCTATTCTCACTGCCTTAGCCTTCCGAGTGGCTGGGACTCAGCAGGGCGCCTGGCTGAACAACAAAAGAAACACCACCCGGCTAATTTTTTGTTTTTGTATTTTTAAATAGAGTGGAGTTTCCACCTGTGAACTTCTGAACCGCATCAGGTGATCTGTGCACCCTTGACGGCTCCCAAAAAGTGCTGGGGATTACAGGTGTGAGGCCCACGGCGTGCCTGACCTCAAATTATTTAATTGTTAAGACTTATCCTGCGGGAAAAAATTCTTGCCCCCCCCCGCTGTGAAAATAAGCACAAGATATCAAGCCTGTTCAGTGTAGGCATCTTCTTTGAAATCACACTGAGTTATGTTGGCATTAGACGTCATTGCCCACAAATTAGAAGATTGTTAATTTGTGGGCAACCTCAGACTATGGAGTGGTAATAAAAAGTTTAAAAAAAAGCGGACGTGCAGGGGTAACCAATTGTCACAAAACTGATGATTTTTTTTTTTTTTTTTTTTTTTTGAGAGCGGAGTCCTCGCTCCTGCTAGCCAGGCTACGGAGTGCAGTGGTCCGGATCTCCAGCTTCACCTGCCAAGCTCCGCCTCCCGGCTTCACGCCCATTCCTCCGGTCCTCCGCCTCCTGAAGTAGCTGGGACGTACCAGCGCCCCGCCACCCGTCCCGCCGAGCCTAGTTTTTGTATTTCTTAGCTAGAGACGGGTCGGTTTCACCAGTGTTAGCGCCAGGATGGCTCTCCGATCCTCCCTGACTTGTGATCCCGCCCCGTCTTGGCGCTCCAAAGTGCTGGGATTACAGGCTTGAGCCACCGCGCCCGGCCACAAATGATGATTTTTAATGTATTTTTTGTTTTGTTTGCCTGTTGGATGTCTGCTTGCTGTTTACTGAAATAAATGTGTCTTGAACACAGACACTTTGTTGGGCTTTTTTTTTTATTCCTCCCGAATTCCCATGTCTATAATAGGAAAAGCTCAGTTGCTGACTAATAATGAACTAAAGGATTGAGTTTGTGTTTTCCATGTCGAGTGCTGTCTCAGGCACGTTGTTTATTTTGAAGAATGTATACATTTAATAAGCACATACAAAAATATATACATATTATACATATATATATTTTCTTTTCTTTCCTTTTTTTTTTTTTTTTTTTGGAGACAGGATCTCACTCTGTCACCCAGGCTGGATTGCACTGGCACGATCTCGGCTCACTGCAACCTCTGCCTCCTTGGCTCAAGCCCTTCTCCCACCTCAGCCTCCCAAGTAGCTGGGAGGACAGGCACCTGCGCCACCACGCCTGGCTAATTTTTGTATTTTTTGTAGAGACGGGGTTTTGCCATGTTGCCCAGGCTGATCTCTAACTCCTGACCTCAAGTGATCCATCCACGTTGGCCTCCCAAAGTGCTGAGATTAGAGGCGTGAGCCACCTTGTCTGGCCTATAATATATTTGAATGAACAATAAATAACAACGATAAAAACTCCTGCAAAAGTAATTACCCAGAGATGATGGGGAATGTCTATTTTCTCTATTTCCTGCTGCTTATAATTATGATTTTTTAAGGGACAACCTGGAAAACAAGAAGCATTTCTGGCCTTGAATGCCACCCGAGGGCTCGTCAGCACCCTGCCCACAGAAGTCCCCATGCCTTCTCTCGTCCTGATGTGTCTTCAGGGTTGGATGGAATTTCTGGAGATTCCTCCTGGGCCTTCCCAGGCAATGACCAAATTCCTAGAGTCACGTGGATGGAGGGAGG